ATACAGAGTATTAATTTGTATTATAAAAAAGTAAATATAAAATACTTTAAAATTATGTAATTTTAATAAAATAATACAAGAAAAAAGTAAAACAAATAAATTTCAATTATTAAAAATAAAAAATAAAAATTTTATATAAATATAATATATAAAATTTATGTATAAATAAATCTCTACTCATATATATATACAGAGTATTAATTTGTATTATAAAAAAGTAAATATAAAATACTTTAAAATTATGTAATTTTAATAAAATAATACAAGAAAAAAGTAAAACAATTTAATTTTTATTTTAAAAATTAAGATGTTTTAATTTTTTAAATATAATTTTATTAAAATAATATAATTTTAACATCTTTTTATTTAATTTTTATTTAATTTTTTAATATATAAGTTGATACCCGTATCAAAAGAATTTTTCTATAGCCTCCATAACCAACCATATTTTGACTATAGTTGGTTATTTTCTTTTGAAGCAAGTATATCAGTTCCCCTTGCATTTAATCCATTATATTTGATTTAAATCCTGTTTTGGCCCCTAAACTTTAATAATATGAAGCCTTTTTTAAATCCTCTAACTAAAGAAATCTCGTTTTTTATTCCTTAACTTTAATTTTTTTTTCTTTTTTTTAACCTGCTTTCGGTCCTTCCAATAACTTCTTTTCTTGACTTTACCAACCCGAGACAATCAAACAAGAAAATGCTCATACACTGCAAAATCTGCGGTGAGAGCTTGCTATAAAGTCTGAAGTCTGAACACACAAACAAAATCACTGAACAAAACTTTATAAAGCAATTTAGCAACTGATCACATATGATTTCACACAAATTCCTTCTATTACACAGAAGGCAAAAAGAGTAAAAGGGATGCATAAAGCTAGATATTCACAATCATACAAAGGGAAAAAAAAAACCCTAGAGCAGTTTTCAAGGGCTGAAGAAAGAGGAGCCACACTTGCATTTCCAACCTTCTGGCTCATAATTTGTAAACTCGGGCCCTAGCCTGTCAGAGGTTGCAGGAATTTGAGTAGCAACACAAGGAGTGCAGTCCCTACACTTGCGCTCACAGTTTGGTGGCCTTGACCCAAGCCTAGCTAGCAATCTGAACTTTCCTTCATTGCTCTTGGCTAGACCCTAAAACACACCCAAAATATTTATAAAAAAAAAAAAAAAAGAAAGAAAATTAGCAAATGACAGGAAATTTTTTTATTACCTGTTCTTGATTCAGGACAACTTGTGGGATTTGCTCTGTTTAATCAAAGTAGAGAAAATTAGTAAAGAACAACAAATTAGGGTTGTGTGAAACCAAACATGAAGAACTTGTATTCTGTGTTAGTGTAAGGAAAAAGGGCCAATAGAATTGTGTAAGGAACGAGAGGCTTTTTTGTCTCTTTGGATGGGGAAAAGAGTGGGAAACGTTTTCCACAGGAAAAGAGTGTCAAAAGAATTCTAAGAAACATCCAACATGTCAAATATGTAGCTTACCTTGCTGATGAGGAGAAACCCAATTGATTATTTGTAGAGTAGTCAAAAGAAAACAACACAACATTCTTCCCTTCTCCATTTTTCCTCAGAACCTCAAAATGATACTCTGATGATGAAAATCTTTCCACTTTGGGTGATTATCTTTATACTGTGGGAGAAAGTAAGAGAAAAAAACAAGGGCAGGGGGGGGGGGGTGTGAGTACTTGTCGCTCACCTCAAGAAGCCAAATGCACCTCAACTCAACTGTCTCTCTGGTTCTCTGCTGTCTTTGGTGGAGAGAATTTGCTGCTCTCATAAAAGTGACTCTGCCCCGCCCTCTGTGGCTCTTTCTGCTTCAGTTTTTTAAACTTTCCTTTTGACAACACAACTAAAGACAATCCCCACGTCTCATTTTCTCCAGAATAAGTCCTTTATTGGTACTTGTTTGGCCTCTTCGAAAAAATTGCTTCATAATTCCAAAAGCAGAGGCTGTGGCTCTGTGTGACTGTGTCAATATCTTAGAAGTATAAACTTTAATGCTGGTCCTGAATTTTTGTACGGATTTTAATTTGATATTGGAGCTAAATTAATCTTTATTATGATCCTTAAAATTTTAAAATTTACTCTTTATAGGTCCTTTTTGTTAAATTTTAGTTCCAAGGGTATGTTAATTGACACTAAAATTTGTTTTTTTTTAATTAATAATATTAAAATTCAGCACGAACAAAATTTGATGATATAAATAAAAATTGTACAATTTTTTTTTTCACATATCGTTACCCTGTACAAGAGTCGACCTCTCCATTTCTAACAAAAACCAGCGCCAACAATAATGGTCAATGAGACTTCAAGTGCCTCCACAACTTTATTATAGTGGATTCAACTCCTACATATGACAACCAACTTTAAGTTTTTCTTGATATGTACCCTTTGTAGCCAATAATAATATTTATATTTTTATATTATCCTTAATAAATTAAGATAAAGATAAAGAAAAATTTTGGTTGATAAATAATTAAAATGATTAGACAATAGGTACCAAAAAAAAAAAAGATTAGATAATAATATAGTTAAAATAAATGTCGAAACTAATAATCCTCTCTTTTTTATTTAAGGAATACAATTCTTACTTTAATTTTTTTTTTCATCTCTAACTTTAATTATTAATCTTATCATAAAAGGTTTTTTTTTAATCTTTATCTATTGTTTAGAGAATAATGATAAATTAAATTAAAATTTGATACCAAAATCTAGTATCAATAAGGTAATATAACTTTACGTTATTTAAAATATTAAAAAGTAAAATTTATATTATTTAAAAATTAATTCATTTTTATTTTTTAAGACCCAAGATAATTTATATGTATCAATTAATAACATGGCATAATACTCCTAAATTTTTTGTTTCAAATTATTCATAATGTAAGTAAAAGTATAAATTGTTCATAAAAAAATTGGTATTCTAAGACAATGTGTATCAAGAAAATAACAATTATTGTGGTAGGAGGATAATGTA